TAATAGGTACTTGCGGATCATCAGACTGGAAGATGAAGATGACATATGCGTATGCCATACCTTTCTTTTCCCGTTACATATTTACTTACCCATCATAGTGTCAGCTTAACATCGCGTTTATTTTTCGAGCGACTGCTAGACCACGACCAATATCTCAGTTGGTTCTTGGTATCTTTAGAGGCCGCGCCACTAAACACCGTGCCTGTGTGGCTCTTAATGCTCGGTATATATTGGAACAATATTATGCGCTATCGGAAGCGTGGTCGACGATTGGCTGAGGTGTTACTGGAGAAGCTGCGTTTGGTGCGCTCCTCAATTTCATGCTTATATTTCATAGCTAATTGGCGTAACAGATCAAGCAGCCAGGACAAGCTACAGCCCTGGAACCGTTAGTTGATCGTTTATCTCGATGCATCAGGAGATTGGTACTCGAGCACACGTCCTCCGTTATCCTCCCGGCATCCTGGGATAAATACAAGGACTTGATCGCTTCATGCTTGAATCTGAAGGAACTACCTGACAAGACAACACTTCAGAACCTTGCGGAGCGTAACGTACGAGTTCAGTTGCCCACTAACCGCCAAGGGACGAGTCAACAATTGCCTCAGCAACATGTCATTCATTTGTTCGATTCCATACGGTCTGCACACGATGTTTTGTCCACGTCCTCGGCCTGCTTGAACGCCGTGGAAGACAAGGCTACTCTGGTCGCGAAGCTACTTGAGTGGGCAGCTACTCCGTTTCGTCATGGGTCCCGCCGCGTGTATACGAGTGTTCGCCTGCTTCGGAAGTGGAAGATGTCGGGAATGGATGTTGAATCTTATATTCTCGCTTTCCTTGCGGACACTCAGATAACCAGTCGCGTCAATATGGACAATGTCTATCATATAATCGCCGAACTTGTCCGGTCTCAGACATTCTCTGTGGGCAGGTACCTACAGTGGCTGATGGCAAAAGGGGTAGCGAACGATCCTTTACCCGATCAAAATAAGGTCAGATGCCTTCTCCTAGCGTTAGTTGACGATTATATTGACCAAGTGAATTGTAGGCTATTAAGGACGACGTACGCCTTCTTATACAACTTCCATTGGCTCGTTTGCCAGAATATGTCCGTAACCTCCGCAACACGCTGTTGAGTCGCGCCGGAATTACTGCTTCACACGAGGAATCAACTATTGAAACTGTCAAAGCGTCTATCGCTCAACGCCTTCCGAAGATCTTTGGGCCACAGGCAAGTGATGCAATGTTGACCGACCAGCCATTGTCAAGTTTGACATGGGCAGTCAAATCCGAGATTGGCCTGTGGATCCGTCGTGGGGTATCTGGACACTGTCGTGATCCAGTGAGGTACGCTGATGTCACTCCCTGGAAGTATGCCCAAGGCCTAACAGCTGCTAGGAAATATGCACATATACCCATGCTTGCTGATTCGGGTGTTTCTGCACTCACTCCTGTCGAGTTTTATAATATCCGCGACGTACTGGAAAGCTTTGGAGATATATCGATGCTTGCCGACGTGCTCAAGCAGGCGACAAACTGCGATGACAATATTGTCCTGGCATCCGTTGCTGATACCATCAATTATCATTTCGACTCTTTGAGTGTTATTGGTGCTGCGACAGATCTCTTTAAAGGGCTTTTTGAGTCCTATGCTCGCCTCAAGAGGCTTGGAGCGCCCGGTTTAGATCTCATCTTTTCACTGATCGAGCTGGGGCTACGGATTCCCAGCGAGTTCAACACCGTTGCTCTTCTGCGTCAAGATTTGTCTCGTATTGAGAACAAGTCCGCCCTAGCTGCACCATCTCCGTTGTCGGACAATCTCTCCATGGCTTTCAATGACGCCGACTCTTCGTTCCAGGAGAAGCTAGATCAGATCCTATTCTCCGGAGGGGGAATGGATGAATCCACTATGGACTCTATATTCAATTCATTGACTGGGGCATTGGCGAACGAGAATGGTCACGTCAATCTGTCGGCGAATGACATATGCAGGTACCTGGCTTACCTGAGATCCTTCCATCCTAAGCGGTTCGATGCCAGGCTGGTTCGCTGGGTATGTGGTGTTCTAAAGTCACCTTCTCGGTTCGCAATGGTCCGTGTCCTACCTCCTCTTATCGGCGTTGGTTGCGTTACCATACATGCATTCGTGATGCTTGTGAAGAAGCTTTTGCAATCGGAAAGGATAGCGTCCGTAGTCCCCAAAGTCACGGATCTGCAGCTGGATCTTCTTGAACTCCTAGTTCCACAAGAGCCGAGCGGGAGCCGTTACACAGATATGGTATGCATTATCACTTTGCTTCTAGCTACGCACCCTCATTTCCTTCCGCTAGTCCTGAAGCATGCCCTGCAGTTGTCTAACTCTTCTGTCTAGGTCACGTACCGCTACTATCTAGCGCAACAAGAGTTCATTGACAAGCATCCCGAGGAGTGCCTCAATATCATCCGTGCTGCTGTGCCACTGATTAGTACTAGGCAGACAGAAAGTGCGGGTGAAGCGAACGCGGCAGACCTAACGAAGTGCGCCATGATTTTGCTCCAAACCTTACTCACACAGAAACCAGAACGCATGGTACAATGTTGTACGCAAAAGTTAGTTGGTCAAGATCCGGCATCCACAATGATCCTACAGAAGGCTCTCGATGCTTTACTCGGCTTCAATCCACAAGGTTTGTTTGCAGTTACCTGCCTGTTAGGTCTAGGCTAACACCCTTCCAGATCCCCAGGCTATGTCTGAGGCTGAGAGAGTCATTGGCATGAACAATGACTTCTCGCTCCCTATCTGTCAGTTGAAGCTCCAGCTCTTATTTAATGCAGAGGCTGGGAATGGAGTCGACAATGGTATTGTGGATGTGATGTTCAAGGCGGCGATGGCTGATGCTCGCTCAAAGCGTTCCCACTGGTACGGTTTGGTGAGTCTGATGAACCAGGATGCGGTGCGACAGGTATGAGAATAGCCAACCCTTTGCTCTTGTCTCATCTTCGCTAACTGTTTCAGATCCGCGAGCGAGCTGAAAAGGGCTTCTTTTCTGTTCCTATCCTGGAAGAGCCTATCGGCGATCCTACAGTGGCGGACAAGTCAAACTCCATTGAAACCGCTCGGCTTTATCTGGCAATTATTGAAAAGATAGCATATAGCATTCCCGAAACGGGTGTACCATCTGTTGCGCCCATGTTGGTGGAAAAAATGGAGTTGCTTCTCCAGAAATTCATCACCATGCAACCAAACCCGTCTACTCCCGCAGAGTCGTGTCAGATAGCTCAGGCGCGCTCGAACTTCGAAAGAAACCTTGCATTTTGGTTCTCAGCTCTGCTCAGGCTCGTGGTCATCCACAGATCAGCATTCAATACGGCGGCATTAACACCTAAACCAATCGGTCTCCAAGAACAAGCTCGCATGTTGGTCTCTATCTTCTGCATCACTCTCGCACGTCTCCCAGACCGAGTTATTCGCCTCTACCCGTCAGCGAATTATTTCCCTCATCCTGTGCAGTCGGAAAGCTACCGCCCATGTCCCGGGATTTTACTACAGACCCACGCTTTGGACGTTGCAGCAGCCCTGATCGATACGTTCCCGGACGAAGCACGACAACAATGTGCCCGTTTCCTCAAGGAGAAATGCCCTCCTTTTCTTCAGTTCCAAAACGATTCCCGGTTCCTCTATCTTCTCGGGCCCGTGATGGATGCACCAACGCTTAACTCATCCCAGCCCGCGTCTCTACCATCTCCTGCGGCCGGTGGTTCAACCCCAACACCCACTGGCAATCTTGCTGGCGGGCCTCCTAATTCACAGAGCCTCTCTGCGGCGTCGGGCCTACCCGCTGGGCTATCTGAAGGTGTCAATTGCATTGCTAGCCACCTTCGGTTGCAGTACCGTGGTCGCGTTCTCGGCGCGTATCCGGTCCGCCCCTGGGAACTTCTTGAGGACGCTGCTCCAATTGTCGGAATGAACGACACTGCCGTGAGCCTAAAATACTTTGACGCCCGACGCGTCAGAGCCTAGGCAATTCGCAACTCACCCCGTATATAATTCACTGTTTTCTCTCCATGATTTGAGCCTTCATGTGCTGTGCTTGCCTTTTTGCTCGATACCATACCCATATTTTTGCATATATTGTCAATCTCATGTTGCTATACCTATAGGATCTGTTACGTCCTTCCTCCATCACTCTTTTGGTTACTTTCTTTCGTTCATTTGTTAACATTCTAACTGCGGGTATCGATGTTGGCGAGCAAGGGTGCACTGGTTATTGCCGTTTTTGGGATTTTGCTTTTGGTTACTTTCTTCGAGGGCATCTGGGGGTTGTATATAAGATAGAGACGGGCGTTTTGGTGGGTTGGGTGGCTCATACTTATATAGCATTTACGATTGGCATCAGTATTTGAAACTGGCATTTGAATATTTCGTTCGGGGCATGATTTTGCGCATAAGCATGTACTGTCTATCTCTTGGGCGGCATTTGAGATTACTTGGGCTTGATTCCTAGTACATACCACTAAAGTAATGACTCAAGAACGGCAGGTGGCTTTCTAGTAGTAACGCTTTACAGTAGGACGCTTTTCAAGTGATAATAATATTTCCCCAAATCAACAATGCGCACTCATCACGATTCGTGATAGTGGGTTCTTCATGCAGTTAGTTGTCAATCAATATGATGATATTGAAACCAGTGGAAACTAGCTTTGTAGGTCTTGAGATTGGGTTTTCCGCATTCCGTCGGCCGCATTTCAGGACAGACTAACTAGGAAATGAGTGCGGAAATATTTCCCTGAGAACATCGAAGATGATGGCACATTAGTACTGTGTCTGATTCAAAAAATGTGTACAGTAGCCAGTAAATGCACAAAGTCTTTCAACATCGCACGTTAATATACCGCTAACCAATCAATACTAGTTACTGAATAAGTAGCTGACTCATGCATGTATCTATCTCTGAGCTAGTCCTCAAGATCATCCCCAGATACACTACTAAAGTAAGTTTAGATTCCACCCATGAAAAGTCCTTTATTCCGTCGAAGGCTTTCTCAGCTCTGGGGACTAGCATGTCCCATGCGGCAGATATGCTGTCGAAAAGGAGATTATTTAAATCCCAACATATTTCCCCGACCTGCTCCTGCAACTCATCATTGATCCCATTCATCAAATCAATCTAATATCCTAACAACCACTACTATTAACTCCAATTTCTTCAATTCTTCCGCTCAGTCCATCAACCCTATCTCAATATGAAGACCTTCGCCATCCCCCTCCTAATCGCCACGGCCTCCAGCCTCGCCGTCGCTTCATCCCTCTGTCCTTTGAATAACACCCCTAAGTGCTGCACTGTCGATCCCTCGGGCCTATTTCCTTCGGGCTGTGTAGAACGTAAGTTGGCTGCTTGTTGTATTAGTATCATACATATGTGACTGCTAACTGCCTATCGTCTTTATAGCTAGCACAACCCCAACCAGCACTGCCGAGTTGAACTCCGTTTGTAAAGCGCAGCAGAAGGAGGCTCGGTGCTGTGTTATATCTGATACTTTGCTGGAGAATGTCTGTAATCCGGTGATTGATGCTTAAACACTACTGAGGTTGGAGTTGGGATATCTCGAGGAAATTTTGAAAAGTTTTTGTCCTTTTAATAATTGAACTTAGTTACTCTCTGCAGATCCCTATTTAGCCTTTACTCATTCATCACTGTAGATTGAACAGCTCCCCGACAGCCAACACATGGTACTGATTTGGTGGCTATTTGCGGAGAGGTAGAATAGGAGGCTAGTTGCTGTTCTTCTCCTGTGTATGATCAAGGGGTTCTTTGTGGTCCGGTTGTTGGTCTTTAGGGTTGGGGTTTGGGATGGAAGAGTATGCATTTGCGTTTCATTACGATGTTTGTTTAGGTTCAGAACTGGGTTGGGGGAGTGGGTCTGGGGATTTAGACAGGTAGTAGGCTGTTGACATTAGATTATTCTGTTGGTTTGTTTACTACTACTTGTCAGCAAATATTGTTTTTGCTTTTTTGAGTCTGGATACATGAATATGGAACCATATAAATACATATAAATGAAGAACAATGTGTAATATTTGTCTCGGGACTAAAAAAATGATTGCAGATATGAGTATTTGGTCGTTTTTTACTGGTATGATTAAAGACAGCCCGGTATATTCAAAACGCCATTGGTATATATATTCCAGAAAGAAACACGAGGGAGAAAAGAGAAGGTGTGTGTGTGTGTGAGAGAGAGAGAGAGAGAGAGAGAGAAAAGCAAGGAGATAGAGGCTCTTTTATTTACAAGAAACCTCTTGTTTTCATCCCAACTGATATCGCTTAGTCTGGCTTGGACGTCAACACAGGCAACAGACCTTGATCCCGTGCCTCTTTCTCCACCTCCAGGATGAGTTCAAGGGTGGCCTCTTCATTGAGATCGATACCTCGTATCCTCTTCATTTCGTTAACGTAGTCCCTAACTGTGCGGCCAGTGGATAGTAGCATGTCACAGGGAAGGTTAGACCGGCTGGTCTCGATGCCTTCCCGTTCTTGATTGGCCCCGCATTCTACTACTTCATCGCAGCCGGGTGTCGTGGGCTGTGTGTCAAGATTGTTGCTTGACGAAGAAGAAGAGGAGGAAGGTGATTGTGGTGTATGTGCGTTGGGGGCATGCGATGATAATGTGTGATGAGTAGGGTATGATGGTGCGGGAGGTAAAGCACCAGAGACAGGAGGAGGTACGTGAAGACTACCGTATACTGGTACAGCCGGCGACCAGCTATACAATAAAGGAGGCCCATACGCGGCAGGCAGGCTGGGCGGTATGGCCATGGAGGGCATATATAGTGGTGGCGAGGTGTTTAGCCCAGCCCTTTCATCGTGATTCACCACCGACTCTCCACGGTTTCCTGCGATACTGTCAGACATGATGGTATTTGTAGAGTCAGCAAGGAAGACATACTGAGGCCATTTGCAGCCTCTATTCTCAGAGGACGATCTCTGAGGAAGATATTCTGGTGCTGCCCGATAGCTGCTTGAGCGTGGGACCTATCCTGTAAGCGAAGTTGGTTAGCTCTGAGTTTACTTTATAGTAAACAAATCGGTCGCTAGTGCAAAGGGCAGATTACTGTAAACTGCACCCAACCGCTATAAAGACCTGTCCTTCCTGCGCGAACCTGCGCCCAGCACACTCCAAACTGGGAGAAGAGCTGCTCCAGTTCGTGCTGGAGGATATTCGGACAGACGCCGCTGGAGAGACTAGACAGCGTTAGGATTCTAGGAATGAGGTATGCGTCATGAAGAGCTGTTCTTACTTTCCCACATGCACACAGGCATTCGTGGGGAGCCTTAACTGGGCGTTTTCTCCGGTAATCCAGGGGGAGCGTGGCTGATGTCCAGGAGAAGAGAAGGATGGATAAAACAGCTGAGGCTGGGGAGTTGAGGGATGGGGGGCGAAGAACGGCGCAGCCATGACGACTGTTGTACTACACCTTGAGACTATTATTAAGGTAGTATATGGGTTAAGGATCAATAAAGAGGCGAGTATATCTGGCTTATTGTAGAACAAGCAGAGAATAGATTGTTGGGAAATAGTCAGTGCGATAGAAGGTATTTTGATGAGTGTTAGATGGAGAGAGTGGTGAGGAAGGAAAGAGAAGAGGGAAGGCTGAGGAAATTGCCGTTTCCTCGCAGCGGTAGGCCAAAAGGCATCTTCCTGGCTGTGACGTTGAGACGAGGTTATGGATTATCTCAGAATCACAGAAAATACTGATGCAAGACTGTAGAATCCATTGGGCTCAACAAGATCTGAAGTCAAACGGCTTGAGGATAAGTATGTATTCAAACAAATAGCATATCTACCTGGCATGAGAAGACCTAGAGCTCTATTTTCGCTGTCTGACATGTCTGTGGCTTGCCAAATATAGCAAACTGGAATCATTCGTGATGATTGCCACATCACCAGAAGATGCCAGTATATCAAGAGAGCAGCAGGCTGTTCACTTGGGCGTGGTTTCCGCTCGGAAACAGGCCCAGAATAAAGCCATGATATACATCACTCTCTGATGACTTGTATAAGCTCCTAGAGACACCTTCACTGTTTAGTTCGAGTCCAACACAACCCATTATTGCATCCATCTCGTCGTTTGACTCAGCGTGCACTTCCATAACTACTATTGGCCAACAACCGATGTATGCGCTCGCAAGATGATTGGTGGGATACACGCATATCATGACAGCTGATATTCTCACCGCATTAAATTCTGCCAGCAGAATCAGACAACTGGCGAATCTATGCTGATGGGGAAAATTGCTGTTGGCCTACACATGACTAGTGCTTAGTTCTGTGTAGGTCAACAGCAATCATGCTGCTCAGGAAGACCGCGTCAAAGATATCCGCTATATTTAGTGGCTATTTCATAGACTAGAGCCTATTAGAGTGGATATACTGGTCATTCAATACCACACCCTAGCAATATTAGCTGCTTTCAAAGGGTCCCCTAAATGAGACAAAGTTAGCGACATACGACAAAACAAAAGAACACAGTAGATACCACTCTAATACTCACCTTCAGATTTGCGTCGTCAAGTCAGAGCCTATAGGCACACCAGGCTACCATAAACCACCGAAGACACATTTATATCTCCCCAGGCGGTGACCCCTCAACCACCGAGACCGGACAACTAAACCGGACAGCTTCTGCCTCAGGCCCGCACGGCCAGCGAAATTCCGACGTCATGAGCAGGTCCGAGAATCTCCTCGACGCATCGCCGCGGCACCTTTACACCTGCACCAACATCCCCCAATTGGCTTGAATTCTATCTACTCAAGCCAACATGTTCCCCACGGCCCGATGCCTAGCTGCAAAGCCATCCGGCTTCCTCAAACGCAGCGTTGAGGAATTCGGCCGTCTATCCCGAATCGGTGCGCTTCTCCCCATCTCCACTAACCAAACTAACAGATCGAGACCGATAAACTGATTGATTAAAACAAACTCCAGCTTGGAACAACGAAGCCCTCCACACCCCAACCAAGCCCTACGTCCTCCTCGACTTCGAAGATGAGTCGTCCGTCGCCGGCTGCAAGACCATGGCCGACCGCGTTGTCGGAGGTTACAGCACCGCCAGTCTAGACTACGTCCCTGCGGACCCAGCCACGAACAGTCCTGCACATGCGCGTTTCCATGGAAGTATCTCGACTAAGCTTCCCAAGAACTGGCGGGTTGAGCGGACAGGTACATCACCTCCTCCATATCCTTCTACCTTTATTCAGAATACTCAGACTAATATGCATGATGATACTAAAAATATAGGCTACGCCGCCTTCCGCAACCACGACCGCGGCTTCTGGCTCTTCGGCCGACTCTTCTGGGACGTCGATCCGTACACCTACCTCGCGCTGAGAGTAAAATCCGACGGCCGTCGATACACCGTCAACATCCAGACCGATTCCATCGTCGAGACCGATATCCACCAACACCGTCTCTACACGCGGCATCATCGCGTGCAGCCTTCCTTCTCTACCTCCGACGCGGACTCCTCTGATCTAGCGGACCGGTTGTACCCTAATGGTAGCATTCCCGCTGCTTTGTCTGATGTTCCGCCTGAGAGTATTGTCATGGGGAGTGGTAGTTCGAGTGCTACGACCTCTGGGGGGACGGGATGGGAGACGATCCTGTTGCCGTTTAACTCGTTTGTGCGCACGAATCATGGTATGGTGGTTGAGCCGCAGACGTCGATTATTCGGCAGCGGATTAAGAGTGTTGGTATTGGGTTGACGGATCGGGTGGAGGGCCCGTATGATTTGAGGATTCAGAAGGTTTGGGCGACGAATGGGATGAGTGAGGCGGAGATTGAGGAGGAGAGGAGGATTTGTGGGGCGGATGCGTTGCCGGTTGATGAGGGGGTGATGACGGGGTGGATGGGTGAGGTTGGGGCGAAGGAGCAGAAGGAGGTTCAGGGTCAGAGGGAGAGTGTGAAAGAGGGAGGAGAGCCTAAGGCGAAGGGGTTGAAGGGGTTGAAGGATGAGTGGGAGGCGTAGGTGCGGATGCAGGAAAGTAGTAACTAACTTGATACCATATCTAGATTGTACAAAACAGTAATTTAACCTTTCTAGTGCCTAACTAGTCTACCATTTCCCTTTTCATGACATTTTGTTTCAACTCATACAAAGTCCATAACAGAACTGATAGTTAATTTAGTTACCACCGGTAATTTTCTCCCACGCCTCCTTATACTTCTCACTAGTCTTCTCCGCAATCTCATCGCTCATCCGGACACCCTCCTTACCCTTCAACCCCTCCTTGACCAACCAATCGCGGAGGAACTGCTTATCGAAACTGGCCTGTCCCCGTCCAATCTCATAGGAATCCTTAGGCCAGAACCGCGACGAATCCGGCGTCAACACCTCATCAGCAAGCACCACCTCACCAGTCTCCTCATCAACACCGAACTCGAACTTGGTGTCAGCGATGATGACACCGCGGGAGAGCGCGTACTCGTGGGCGATCTTGTACAGCTGAACAGACAGGGAAGCGACAATAGCGGCGTATTTCTCTCCGATGATCTCAACAGCTATACCAACAATTAGCCTTCATC